AGGTGAAATATTTACCTTTACTGAAAAATGTTATTTATTACCAAACAAGGCAGGCATTTTGTGCTTGTTGTCGTAGCTGATGATGATTTGTTTTGTTATAGTCGAAAAAGCGGCTGTCAATTTGCGCCTATTCACTGCAAAACATTGCCACCAACACTGAGTGGCTGTTGTCGATCTTATCGATTTCTTTGAACGATGTTGGAATTTATGTTTGTTGGCGCAGGCGATGAAGTGGCGCAACGTAACGTTACAGCAACAGCTAAGTAAACAAACAAATTTTCACACACCACAAACTTAACAAATGAATGAACAAATGCTGTCCTTAAGCTGTGGCTTCGGCAATGCTGCTGTTCGGTTGCGTTGGGCCAATTTTTGGATTTTCGGCGGTGAAAATCAGCGTACGAAGCTTGTTTTGCTTGCACACAAATAGTAAAGCGTTTGTTGTTTTTGTGTGTGTGTTATAGGGTCATAATTTCTAACGGTTATTATACCTTTTAGCTATAATCGCATACCACTGGAAGCAGGAGCAAATGTGTTTTTGTACATACTAGGATGTGTGATAATTCACCTTTTGTCCAAATCCGGTTTTCGAGTTATTCGAAAAATGGTAATTTAAAAAAAAAACCGGTTTCCGAAATTGCCAAGACAAAAAATTACAATAAATAAAAAAAATAAAGATAGCTTTTTATTAGAAAAGAGCAAAGCAAAATAAGTTCAAAGTTCTTTTTTGGATTAAAGTACTTAACACACTTTTTTTGAATTTGAGTAGTACTGTTGCCGCCGTAGCCGAGTGCTTAGATGTGCCTACTGCAACTCGGAAAGTCCGTGGTTCAATATGCGGTCCCAGCAACACTAAAAAAAAAAGTTTTTTTTTCAAAAATGGCAAACCTCCGAGTGTATTACCGCCAGAAAACAAGCTTCATCCGGGGTTGAGTAAAAGTGTAAATCTCTCCATTTTTGCCACAACATCAAGAAGCAGAACGCGAATTGGAGGAGAAGCTCGCTTAACATTTATTGGAATCAAATATGATATACTGTTCATCCCCCAATAGCCTAGGATATAATTTTAAAACTATTTAGAGGTTTGCCTTAAACAGGAAAAAGCCTTGAAAACTTCGAAGAACTCAGAACTTTTATTGAGAGGTCAAGATTTGTATGAAACTAAAAAAAAAACCGTTTGTTCCATAAAAAAAATCCGGTTTATTCGTAATTCGAAAAATCGAGATTTAAAAAAACCGCCATGGATATTAAAAAAAAAAACGAAAAAACCGTGTAAATCACCCTTGTACATACCGGCGTATACACATACGCTTGTTAGTATGTATTTTGGCCCTTGAATGAAGTCGAGTGGTGCTAGGTGTGTAGCGATTAAAAGCGCTCAGTCATATACTGTACTAAAATGCCGTATGTAGGTATGTTTTTAAGTCTGTATTTATGCATGTATATGCATTCTCATATATTTTCGGAAGTGTCTGCTTGTTGCATTTTTGGTATTAGATGCTTTTTAACTACGCAACAACAACTCTTTGCACTGCGGCACAGTAGATCCTAACAGCATAAAATTAGAACTTTTAAGATATAAAACGTTAATAAACGAATCGATCCATGTCCAATCGACCAGTGCTTGGAAACGACCATTTTCAATTTGGATGAAAGTTATGCGATATTCAAAATTTTAAAATTGTATAATATAATATTATGTAGTTATAAAAATCGTGTTCGATTTGTATTTAAGAAAAAAAATCGAGCAAAAAAAATTACAGAATTTTTAACATTAGTAGGCGTTGCTAGAACAGCTGATTTGTTGGAATTTTCTTTCCTTTGAGCGGAGATTGGCTCAACCTTTGTACTACCGCTACGACCTTATATGAACTCGCCTTGTTTTAAATTGAAAAATAAAATGCAAAAGCCAGAAATTATATAAATTTTTGGTTCAATTTTGTTTAGCTTTCACGAGTTTGTATTCCTATTTCCCTGAAAGCTAGACAAATGCACAGAATTGAATCAAAAGCAAACCACAGTCCCTTGTTGCAAATGTTTGTTTGAGTGTTGTCATAGGCAACTGAAGGGCGTGTAGACCAGTGCACGGACTTTACAACTTTATTGATAAATCTAACCACTTTTTAACTATATTTTATTTCCTACCATTTTTACCAAGAAAGGCCAAAAATCTACCAATATTTTCCGGAAAGTGAGAAAAGAGATTTAAATGAACGCGGTGTATACATATTTCTTCATCGAACACACCTTGAATAAAAATGAAAAGTTAACTCTGACCATAACCAATAAAAATATGAAAATGGCATCTGTATCAGCTGTTTATAAACATATGTATTTTTCGTTTGGAATACGTTTGGTTTGTGTCACTGCCCAAATAATGGGTGGCAAACTTCAAGCACTTCAAATCTTATTTTAATACAAAAAATTTGTAGTGGAGAGTAATTGTTTAAGCCTCCTATCAAATTAATCCAGGGCCCGAATCACGGCATCCGTGATCGAATTGATTCGAAATTTCTTTTTGGGATTACGGCATTCGGTGCCGAGCTCCCTTTTTTTCAGCTTAGATCGTATTGGAGATAAAACAGGTGTCATTTTATTTCATTGGATTCGAATCGAGTTTTATTCGATCACGTATGCCGTGATTCGGGTCCAGTTTTGTTTTTATAGGTTTTTACATTAAGAACCAATAAGGTGAAAATCTAGCTGCTTTGGTAACACCAACTTACATGAATTCGCCTTAATTTATATTATCTATTATTGCTTCTTTTAAAAAATCAACCAACTTCTACCATTTTTCATATGTAAAATCTACTACTATTATTATTCGAAGTCCCGGCACTGGTGTAGACACCACAAGAAAATCTTACCCAATGATTATTGTTTGAGTTGACTAAGTGGTAATGTTTTAATTGACGCTGTAGCAAGTAGACTCATTTGACATATGACAGGCGAAGGGTATACATAATTGCCAATGGTAATTAACGCATATGCTAAATGGAGCACACTGTTATGAGCGCAAATTAACTTAACCAGAGAGCGTAGAAACTCGTGGATTCAAGATAAACGCTATCCAGATTTTGACGTCAAATCTCACATTATGTAATTGAGAAAGCTCTAAAACAATGCCACTTTTAAATAAAATTCTCAATAGTGTTTCCACACACCTCGACGATATAAATGTACAATCGAACTGTAAATTTTGGTAAAACACGGCAATCAGAAACTATGTAATTTACTGAAAAATATTTTTAAATGTGGTTGCCATCTAATTAAAAAATTAAAGTTAAATATGTGTAAGTTTTAATTCAAATTCTTTAAGTGCAATAAAGCTTTAAAGAAGACATGTTTTTTTTTTGGTTTCCTTAAATAGCATTCGTGAACAGAGTTTCGCACATATTTTCAATGAGTATTGCCACCTGATTAGAAATTCAAAATTAAGTAACTCCCCAGTTAAATTAAATATTATAATATGATATGCACAGGGATGCCACCTGCGAGAAAAGTTTAAATCAATTTAATTTATACACGTACATATGTGTGTAGGCAGAAGAGTTTAAGAAGGCTTTATTTTTTTATTTATATTTTTAACGGGGTTGCCACTTGTTTAGAAATTGAAAGTCTATTTATTTAACAAGTTTATAGATATCAGTTTAAAAAAGCTTTACCTTTAAAATACTTTTTTAGAAAAAAATATAACTTTGAAGAAGTTGCCACCAGCTTAAATAGTTTTGAAAGGGTTGTTCTCATTTTTAAAAGGCGAATTTAACTAAACTAATTATTTAGCTGAAATATTACATCGAGGTTTCTATATATTCGTATTTACACCAAATTATTTTGAAATGAAGGTTTATATTAAATAAGATATAAACCATTTGGCATTGATATAAAACCAAATTATATTCACTCTAGTACTACTAGGCTGGTAATTTTTGCCAGTTTTTTACTATCCAGATATTCGAAAAAGTGATTAAAAAATCCGAATATCTGGAACTCGGACCTTCGAAATATTTTTTCTTTAAAAATCAGACTTCTTTTAAAATTTACTTGTTGTGAAACTATTTATTTTCTAAAAAATACTTTAAATTTTGTTTAAAAGAATGAATGCTGCAGAATTACAACATTCACCTTAGTCAATCCTACAGTCTCCTATATAAAAACACTTTCATCCGATTGTCCTTAGATATATCTTCTTCTATTCTTAAATTTTATTTTTACAATTTATTCCAAATACACTGAACCAAAAACACCATTCATTAACCAAACTCACACCAACAGCCTGCCAGAAAAAAACAGTAACAATAATAATTACGTTACTCATGGAACTGTACGATGCCTTAGGGTGCGTTCACACAGAATGCTGAGTGGCGCCGAGCGAAGCAAGAAAGAGCGGATAGTGTTCACACTGAACGAGGTGGAGCGGAGCCTTTTACATTGAATCGGCCGTAAAGATACATATGACAAAACTGACCTTCAGTGAAAATCGTCTAAAATATTTATTCAGTTAGTTTCAATTGCTTTCTCGAAAAATAGATTTACGACGCTATTCTATATCAATGACACAGTTTTTTTTTACGGGAAAGTATATAAAATATTTTAAATTTGTGGGTTACAAAAATTGTGTCACCGATGCGGAATTGGGGTATTGACTCATGAAGCTGAAACACCAAAATCAAGATTAAAAATCAAAAAAAACTTTGCTTTCAGCTCCAAAACGCTTCTGGGAAAACTTGCTGTATGAACACTTTCTGGTTAATTCGAAATTTCAGTTTTTTAGACCTTAAGGAAGCTCTTCGACTCTTTTCGGTATATTTTCGCTGTTTACAGGTCTGAAAGTATCTAAATTTTGATTTTTATGAATGCCCTCAAATATTAATACTTATTAAAACTTAACCGCAAATGAACCACTTTTCTATTTCCAATAAACGATTAACGTTAAAATTTCCATCTTCTCTCTCTCTCTCTCTGCCACAGTTACAACAACAACGCTAACCAAACTCAAAATGCCCCACCAAAACTGCGAACGGCAATCGAGGTGTAAAATCCTTGTAACTCTCTTCCATTTCCTACTCGTAATCGCCCTTCTCGGTATCAAATTGCCCACAGTGAATGCTGTGCCAACAGTTGGAGAAGATGCAGCCACTGGGGCAGCGTTACCAGCAGGCAATGAAGAAAAGCGCAACTGGCAAGCGCTTCAGGGTCCATGGGGTAAGCGTGCTGCACACTACGGTACTCCCCTAATGCCTGAGACAATCGAACAGGAGGAAGATGAACGTTTAGTACGCTTTTGATAAGTAACGGTGAACGCGAAGAGCCATTTCTCAAGTACTCCATGATGTATCTAACCAATGCCGGTACGCTGGATCGCTTGTTGAACGACAGGCAACAGGAAGAGCAAAATGGTCTAAGGTATAATGATGATCTCTTAACCTCGATTGAGGAAAATGAAGGCTTTACCAACAACAACAACAATAATGATGATAACGCACTGCTGACGGAGAAACGCGCTTGGAATAAAATGAATGCTGCCTGGGGTAAGAGACGTAATGCGCCCACATGGAATAAATTCAGAGGTGAGCTGATTGCGATTGATGTAGCGAGCGTAGTTTTTTATATATATTTTTTTTTCCCTAACTCTTAGGTGCCTGGGGTAAGCGCGAACCTGGCTGGAATAATCTCAAAGGCATGTGGGGCAAACGTGCGTCGAAGGATTGGGGGAAATTGCATGGTGGCTGGGGCAAGCGTGCTTTGAACTAAATACATGGGATTGCACCGAAGTCAATTTAGGCGTTAACCCTCTAAAAATGTATGCAGTTGAAATGGAATGACAAATTTTGAATAAAAAAAAAAACTTAAAAAATATAAAACAAAACTTATGAAATGTAAACTTATATTAGCCTATTGTAAATTTTAACCTATCAACTACATACATGTGTACTTTGTAAAATTATTTCTCATATGTATAAAATAGTAATAATTCATATAGCGGGAGCTATGCTAATGTAAAATACAGTTTACAACATATGTAGATTGTAGTATCTAAATATACAAACATACACATACATGTAACAACAAATTAGCACCTAAATTAAATATTAACAATCTCATGTATTAAAATTTATAAGAATCTAAATAGCCCCTGAGCAACATTTACCACAAAAAACGAGAAATTTAGCAAAAAATCGAGTTTCCATGTGGATTTTTAATACCAAAAATGTATGAAAGCCTTAAATGTTTTGTGTATGTATTGTATGTACATAAATGTGTATAATTCTTTTGTTTTGGTTCACAATGTTGGTTCACATATATATTTCCACGAGCGTCTTTAAGCATTCTCCTCCCAATTAAAAAGCAATTTCGTACATGAAATTTAAACTCACAAAAGGGCAAAGAATAGAAAAGGAACACAACCAGTCAATTGTGTCTGGTTTTATGTATAAAACGATTCAAAATGCAAAATAAAACTAAATATAAATAAACAGTATTAAATAAAGAGTATTGTAAAAATATCATATCAAATATGGGATTTCATTGAATGAGTGTACGGATATATTAGTTGCGTTCCCTAACTCGCAAGAAGTTGCAAGAATTTACAGGATTTTACCAGAAAGCATTTCCGTGCTCGGTTCTCTGGCAAAGTAGGGGTAAACGGGAGAGTAAAATCGGCACTCTCTTTGTAAGAAGTTGCAAGATTTTACCCGGCGAATTTTTGTTAGTAAAAAGCTTGCAAAAAATTTGTACGAATTTGTAAGAATTATCGTGATTTTTGCCCAAATCGTGTTCGTGCAGACCAAAAAATTATCCATCACTCAAAACTGAGAGCGCGCAAAGTGACAGTTCTTCTGAGAGAAGTTGCAAATTCTTGCTGGAAAAAATTTAGCCAGCAAGAATTTTTGTCTACGATAATTTGAATAAATAAGTTCGTAAAAATTTAAAAATGTATAAACACGAGCGATTTTTTTATGAAAAAAGGAAGTAAATACTTGTTAATATAATTAATTTAGTTATTTCCAATGAATTGAACTTAACTCGGCTGAAAAAAATTGTATTCGCAATCGAAATGCAATTGTAACCACAGTCGATTTAAGAAACCCGGCTAGTATGATAAAGACATTGAAATGTATGTTAAAGAAAGTCAGATCAACAAGAAATATACATGTGTCTCCTATTTTTGTCCATCTGAAAGAATTTTAAAAATTCTATAAAATTCTAATATGTTTGAAATGCAACCGTGGACACCAGCTGGCAGGGAAACTTGCAAATTCCTGCAAATTTGCGTTCGTGCAGAAATTTGCAAGTTTCTCAGCATGAGAGAGAATTTGAGAGAATTTTTTCTTACTCTCTGATATTTTATGTGTTGGATAATTCTTGCTGAATTTTCGACGCACAAACCTAAAAACTGTTAGAGTGTCAAACCATCAGCTGTTCAAATGATTTCAAATTTGAATAGGCCAAAAAACAAAAGTGCATTTGGATTTTCACCTTATTAAATATATCCTAGCGAAGAAATATCAAGTTTTGTA